ACTATGTATTATATGTAGCTAGTGTTGTTGTAATGCTTAAATATAACAATTATTTTGAAATAACCCAATAAATTCATTAAATAATTTTTACTGTTTGGGATTTAAGACAAGTAAAATTAATTAGTTATTTACGATGTTTTTTAAGAAGATTCTTTTCAAGAATTTGAATTCTTCTTAAGTTTTGTCTTAAGAACAATCTTAAGAAAAAAGATAAGAATTTTCTTAAGAAGAATTTTTGGGAATACAAAATATTCTTAACTTTTTTTTCTAAAGTTAAAAAATAAGAAAAGTGCAGTTAAGAAGAAATTTCTTCTTAAGAATGTTTCGTGAATCCGGCTCCAGGTCTCTAATCCACTGGCACTTGACTCGACAGTGCGTGTGCTACATCCTTTTTCCAGTCTCCAGATTATAAAACACTGCATTCTGTCAGCAATGTAACGCGGCAGTAACGTATAGAGACCTCGGCTTGTAACTATACTCTAATTACTATTTTGAAAATTATAACGCGTTAAATTACTCCGTTACTAAAAAAGTAATCAAATTACAGTAACGCGTTACTAAGTAATGCGTTACTGCCCAACACTGGTCACCGTACAGGTCTTTGAATGAAATAATTTAGTTGGACTGATCAGCCCAACTGAGAGCAGGCATGCTCTGGGAGGCCCCCGGAGCTGCCACGCTTTCACCCACTCCAACGTCCGAGTCGTACTGTTCGTCAGTGCTTAGGGTAGAAGCCACCTTAAGTCTGCAACGAAGAAGCCTCCTAGGCAGAGCAAGGCAATGGCTGCAGTTTTCCGGTAGTGAAAGCGCTTCTTCCACGTGCTTTAACCCCGTGCACACTACGCAGAAAGGATGGGTATCCTTCGCGGCGATGAGGGAACTGCAGGCGGCTGGGCATGTACTCGACTGCAGGCCCAACGGGTTAGCAGGAGCTGATAGTTTCGTTTTATCCATCGGAGAGGTGAAAGCACGAACACAGGCGGGCAGCCTGTGGAAAATCTAGGTAGCGAGCGTGGGTGGCTTGTGACCAAGAAAAAGAAATCACAACAAAACTGTAACGTTCTGACAATCACGCCTGGCGGAGGCTGATCGGATTAGATATTTCCTCCTGTCGACTGTAGTGAAGTCAGCGAAACAGTAGAGCACAGCAGAGCGGTCGCTAGAAGCGAATAACAACTGGAGATTAGTGACGCGTGCAGCCCATATATGCTCTAAGGTAAGGGGGTGGGGCCTTACCTGGCATTGACTGTGCGCTTCTGTCTGTTTAGCCAGACTTGGTGCAATTGGATGCTTCTGCAGAGGTCAGGTGCGGATGCCCTTCCCATAGGTGGATCTCGAACACGAGATGATGAAAGAGAACTGATATATGATGTTACAGTCTCTGTGAGCCCATCCAGATCGTTGGCAGCAGCTTCAAAAACACTACAATCAGTGCAGTCGAAACTGGCTTGTAAATCCCGCTCCGTTTCGTTGGTCCATCTCTTTACAGTCCTTAGAACAGGTTTAGCTGATTTCAGTTTCTGCCTTTAGGTCGGTATAAGACGAACCAAACAGTGGTCTGAAGCTGCCTGTGGGACAGTGTGATATGCATCCTTTATTGTGGTTTAACAATGGTTCAATATATTACTGTCTCTGGTGGGACATGTAACATGCTTTCTGTATTTGGGCAGTTAACGGAAGAGATTTGCTTTTTTTTTTTTAAAGTCCCCTAGAATGATTATAACAGAGTTCGGGTGTTGCTGCTCTGCGTCTGTGATTTGATCAGCGAGTTTTTGCAAAGCTTTACTATGAAATACCCCAAATCCATGAAAATCACGGAATCCTTAATATGCTAGAATATACCTCACTAGTTCTTTAGTGTCTTGTTTTCCTTTTAATGGTCATTGACAAACCTACTTGGAGGTGCATACCGCCACCTACTGCATGACACTTGTGTGACATCTGGCATAAAATAAAGGATCGAGCTTAGGCTAGCCAATACCGATCAGTAAAAAAAAATGCTGAAAGAAAATTGGAAAGATGTTCTGAGATTACATGCAGCACCACTTTCAGTAGCTAAGTGTATATGAGGTTGTACAAAACATGTTGTTGGTTTTAATGTTTTACATGTTTGTTTGTTTTTTGTTTTTTTTTTAGCTTTAGACCTGACGTCAGTTAAAGAGAATGAAGTGCTGAATGAAATGGAAGAGAAAGATCAGTATGAGAACCATAACGATTTCACAACTGAAGAAAAATCTTTCAATTGCTCACAGACTAAAAAGGCTTCCTCACAAAAAAGAGTTAAAAAAGCGATAGGAACTAGAAGTTGTTTAACCTGCTTTCAGTGTGGAAAGCTTTTCACTCAACATGGAAACCTTAAAGCCCACATGAAAATTCACAAAGGAGAGAAGCCTTATACTTGCCAACAGTGTGGAAAACGTTTCAACCTAAAATTAAACCTTAGTCAGCACTTGAGAGTACACTCTGGAGAAATGCCCTTCGCCTGCCAGCACTGTGGAGTAAGTTTCACTCAAAAAGGAAGCCTTAACAGGCACATGAGAAGTCACACTAGAGAGAAACCATACACGTGCTCTCAGTGTGGAAAAAGTTTTGTTAAACTTGGAAACTTTAAAATTCACATGAGTATTCATACAGGAGAAAACCCTTTTATCTGTCAACAGTGTGGAAAAAGTTTCAACCAAAAAGGAAACCTTAAGTACCACATGAGAATTCACGTTGGAGAAAGGCCTTTCACCTGCCAGCAGTGTGGAGTACGTGTGACTCAAAAAGGAAGCCTTAACACGCACATGAGAATTCACACTGGAGAGAAACCTTACTCATGCCCTCAGTGTGGAAAGAGTTTTGATCAACATGGAAATCTTAAAGTCCACATGAGAATTCACACTGGAGAGAAACCTTTCACCTGCCAACAGTGTGGAGTGAGTTTCACTCAAAAAGTAGTTCTCAATAAGCACATAAAAATTCACACTAGAAAAAAGCTTTATACATGCCATCAGTGTGGAAAGAGTTTCGATCAAAATGAAAAGCTTGAAGAACACATGAGAATTCACGTTGGAGAAAACCCGTTCACCTGCCAACAGTGTGGAGTAAGTTTCACTCAAAAAGGAAGCCTTAACACGCACATGAGAATTCACACTGGAGAGAAACCTTACTCATGCCCTCAGTGTGGAAAGAGTTTTGATCAACATGGAAATCTTAAAGTCCACATGAGAATTCACACTGGAGAGAAACCTTACTCATGCCCTCAGTGTGGAAAGAGTTTTGATCAACATGGAAATCTTAAAGTCCACATGAGAATTCACACTGGAGAGAAACCTTTCACCTGCCAACAGTGTGGAGTAAGTTTCACTCAAAAAGTAGTTCTCAATAAGCACATAAAAATTCACACTAGAAAAAAGCTTTATAAATGCCATCAGTGTGGAGTAAGTTTCACTCAAAAAGGGATTCTCAATAGGCACACAAAAATTCACACTGGAGAGAAGCCTTTTACCTGCCAAAAGTGTGGAAAGAGTTTCAATCAAAAAGAGATCCTTAACAGGCACATGAGAATGCACACCAGAGAGAAAGAGTTTCAGTCAACATAGAAACCTTAAATTCAGATGAGAATTCATACTGGAGAGACCTTTTACCTGCCAACAGTGTGGAAGTTTCGGCAAAAGTTTACTTTGAAAAATGAATCCATATCTGGCTCATGAGTACTCAGAACAGAAAGAAGCCATTTACATGTGATCAGTGTGGAGTTTCAGATAAACATAACCCTTAAGCTCAATCCTTGAGGATTCATTCCAGAGAGAATGTCACCAAAGTGGTAGGAGTTTCACAGACGGGAAAGACTTTGGAGTCATGTAATAACTCTCATCTGGGAGAGGTCTTACATGTGATATCACTGTGGAAAGACTTGCAGAAACAAAGCAAATCTTGAGGTTCACACTGGAGATAAAGTGTGGAGATAAGAGTTTCAATCTTAAAGGAAACTTGAACATTCACATGAGACTTCACACTGAAGAAAGGTATTTCACATGTCTTCGGAGTGACAAGTTGCATATATCAAAGAGATCTGAAATGTGGAGTGCTACTCAAGTGTGGCAAAAGGATTACAAAAAAAGAGCAATTTCAGTAATCAGTTGTGCATTCATTCTCAAGGAATACAATTGAATATGTGCAAATGTGAGACCCTATTTGTGTTTTTTGTGATGTTATTACTCATAAAACTACACATTGTTAATTTTTTATATTTAAAAATGGGTTTTCACTAGTTGTTACACCCCAAGTTTGGGACCAGTTTAAGACTTGCAAAAAGAAAAAAAAATGGCCAGGGGGAAAAGATAAACAAGAATGAATATGAACATATTTTTACATCCCAGGGCATAATATTATTTGTTGTTGTTTTATATTTTGATTGCCATACTATGGATATACAGTTGCAATCAGAAATCTTACTGTACTGAGCTGTACTTTACCGTACCGCTCGGTGGAAACGAGCCATATGTGTCCAGTTGAATATTATTTACCAAAACAAGAGAAATTGAATGAACAGTTAACTTTGAAAACTGATGTATAAAAAGGCTTTATACATTTAAACATCTTAAGGCCAATAAAATTTCTGCTGATTTTGAAAAAAAACAAAAAAACATTTGGTTGAAAATTGCAGTGTTATTACACAACCAAACACATTGAAAATAAAACATCTATCATATTGGTCAATGTAAAAAACGAAACGATGTAAATACGTTCACCATCAGCAGAAAATTGTAGCTGGGTCAAAGGAAACGAGTTCACTCCTGCAGCTTTAAAGAGAGGTTCTGCACCGTTCGGCTCATCTGCTTACTCTCTACGTCCTTGATTATTTTCTGAAAGGCCTCAAAGGTATATTTAAGTCCTTCAGGATATTTCAAGTTCAGCGCGTAAATGAGTCCAAACATCATGCTACAGGCACATGCAACAGAGGACAACTCATTTAGTACCTCCACACCGTCAACAACAATGGCAATGTCCAGTGGACGACTGAGCATCACTTTCACGTATCACAAAAACCACCATGGTGGTCTTTTCAAATTCTCTCTCCGCTTCCTCCCTCTGGTCAGCCTAAATACATACAAGAACAGAGCGCAATTGAGGGACTGGAAGAATAAACACCCCTCCACATCTGAAAACTTCTTTTAAAAAAAATTTCATTTGTATTCAGATGAACACCGAAAATTTTAGATGTCTCCCCATTTAACAGACTAACAAGCTGATGAGTTGAATCAGGCGTTAAAATTAGTCATCTAGTAATTAGACATATACAAAATTCTGAGAAGGAGGGCCCAAGGAGAGGAGTTGAGAAACATTGCCCTAAATTCCTGTTAACTAGTGTCTTTTTTTAAATCGAGCACAAGCATTAGTGATTTAAAGCAATTTTTACTAGTGGAAACATCCACAAAAATGGCAATATCTCCAAACCAAACAAGCACAAATGTTTGCTTTTTTGTGGCACAAATCAGCAAAAACTATTTTTTTTCTTGATAATTCATTTATACGAGGTGCCAATGATCACAGAGGTTAAGTGAAAATGAAACTCACAATTTTTTTAAATGAATTATCCAGAAACACCAGTCAAAAGTTTAAGGCAAACATGGTTGGAATAAATTCAGTGGTTTGTCATATGTCGACATTACCTGGTATTCTTTGATCAGACAGCTTGCATCTTCACCAAGGTATATGAATGATGAGGCACTTCAGCAGGCACTCTCGTCTGATGTCTATGTCCAGACTCTACAAAATGTGTCAAGGTATATGGTTTTTAATGGACCAGAACACTACTGATTTGATTACCACTAACAATTCTATTCACATGGAACTAATACCCGATCCATCACTTTAATAGTGTCCTTCGTTTTTTCACGGACGGCTCCACCTTTGCTCCTAATAACCTGGAGAAGCGGAGAGCTCTGTCTGTCCAAAGAGGCCAAAAATCTCGATTGCAAAGGTAAAGTCATGATGCACAAAAATTCTGCATTTATCTGTAAGAGAGAGAAACAGACAATAGACTTGGGAATATTGCATATATTTTATTGTATATATTCACAATTTTATAATAAATACAGATAAAAAGTCAGATTTTTATTAATTTTTCAATAAAGTTTTTTTTTGAGAGTCTGTAATTTAGGACCTGTTTGATTTATTTCCCTGCAAGGGGATTCTTTTGAATCCTCTATATGCCAGTAAATAGAGAAAAAAAGAATTATCTTTTTATAACCTTCTTCACAAAAGTTATTGAGCTTTAACTGAAGGGAGGCAATGTCTTTTCTGAAGTCTCCCATTTTCATCCAGAAACACAAATTATTTAGTGCAAAAACAGGCTTATTACCTGTAAAACACTATTTCTTATGCGTTTTGTCAACAGTTTTCATCGGTTGCAAACTTTCTCAAGAGTGTCCATCAGTGTGCCATTTTCTAAAACAGTTTCTAGATGGCACCAAGCACAGGGGTACATTGCACTTTGTACAGTACATAGAAGTCTTTACCAAAGAGTATAGAAGCCCAAGAGGCGAAACTCAATAGACCAATTATCGGTTTGTAAACATTCAGGATGCGCGCGCAGCATGGTTGCAGAAAACCCGGGAGAGATAGCCTTTACGGCTAGAGAATTTCACGGATAGGGTACAAAATAGTTAGGTTTAAAAAGATTATAAATTATATTGATTAGATGACCCATATCTATGTTCTATCGTACATTTTCCTTGTTAAATTAAAAACTTAAGGTCGTGAAATTACCAGATGTGATGTTTGGTAGTGATTTAATAGAGGCAGACACAGTCATATATATATATTTATTCACAATGTTGATTTTTAAAATAAAAAATTTATTAAAATAAATGGTACACATTCATAACATTGATAAAAAACGAAATATGAACAACTTGCAAACATTGTATCAAGGACTCCACCAACTATTGGTAACTAATGCTACTGGTGTGTGTAACATGTATTACTACTGTAATTACATTTTACAGGCATGTATGTTCAAAGTGACATACTAGACATTCAAGAACTTCAGTAATCACATTATTTTTAACTCTATCAGGAAACTGCCAAAGGATGAGGGTTCAGTTGTCAGGCAATCTCAGGCATTAGTTTGTTAGAGATGTTAGAAGTTACTTTAAGAACAACTAGCTTTTAGAAATGTTAGTCATATTTACACATTTTCAATAAGCATTACACAGTTTCGTATTATACATACACATCAGATGGCCTTTTGAACTGGCTCTGGTGAAAATGAGCACTGCACACCCTATAGGTACGATGCAGCCGATCCGAAGGTATGTCATCAAGGGATGCATTCCGAAGATTTTGGACCCACCTGGCACACCTGCAAAAGACGGGGCATAACTTCAGCTCATAAAAATGTTAGGTATTAAAAAACTACTTTGCAAGTGCTCACAGTTTTATTACCACTATCCACAATGGTAAGGCCATTGATTTAAGCATTAATTCAAGTAACATTTAAAACACAATGATTAATACACCAGGTACCATATTTCTTAGAAGACAGCGCTTACTAGTCTTTGCAAATTTGCCTTTACCTAGCATACACGAAATTCTCACCAGGCATTAGCCTTGCAAGCAAAGTACCATTAACGTATGTAATCCACCGCTTTCAAGATAACGTATAATGTATTTTCATTTAAAGCTGGTGCAGGTTAATCAACTAATGCAAGCAACTCTTTGATGCAAGTACATTTAGCATTGCCTTTTGCTTACCTAAAAGAAATTCCCGCCAGAGGTTAGCCTTGTTATCAAAATTGTTATCACTATTTCATCCGCTACACTCAATCCACCAATTTGATTATAAAATAGCATGCCTATGGAAATAAATGCGATCTAATATTGTTTCAATCGTTCGTTTCTAAAGCAAACTTGGACAGAGAGATGCACTAGCCCAACATTTACACGGCAAAAAATGCTTTTCTTACTTAGATTTTTTGACTAGTTTCTAGCCAAAATATCTAAATATTCTGAAAGAAGGATCTTTCCCCCGTCAAGAAGGATTTTCTAGACAAGTACAAATTATTGTCTTGTTTTCAGAAAAAACATGTCACAATTACGTTAGTTTTTGCCTGAAACAAGCAAAATTATCTGCCAATGGGGTAAGCTAAATAATCTTGTTTTCTGTTTGAAATAAGATTATTTTGCTTACTCCATTGGCAGATTATTTTGCTTGTTCTAAGCAAAAACTCACTTAATTGTGACATGTTTTTTCTGAAAACAAGACAATAATTTGTACTTGTCTAGAAAATTCTTCTTGATTTAAGAATTTTTAGATATTTTGGCTGAAAACAAGACAAAAAAACTAAGAAAAGCATTTTTTTGCAGTGTATTGCAGTCCTGCAAGTACTAACAATGGACTGTCATATGTTAAATCACTTCATAGTTAAAATATTTCCACTTATTATTATTACCACCTTTGTGAATCACTTAGAAACCGGTTAAACGTCAAATCACGGCTGGTGCATTGATAATTGCTGCAGTTTATTGCAGCACACTGCTTGCGTTTCGCCCA